GATGTGCTATAATTAGGAGGTGGCACTGGAAATAAATTTCAAGGCCACAAAAACCTGCCTTCTTTCAGAGAAGAAGGCATTCCTGGCCAACAGAAGCCAGCACAAAGGCAGAGATAGAAATAAACATGGCAATCAGTCTAGATTTTGTAAAGATTTAGTAGTCAAAAGCAGTGTCAGTCAGTTAAGCATCTCATATAGTTTTTTTTTCATAGAGTTTTTACTTGATTATCATATATATGTGACTATCAAATATCTTAACACCTGGCTTTGGTTAGCAGACATTTTCAGATCAATTCAATAATATTTAGAATATACACTGTATAAATTTTTAAGCCCATCATCATGCTAGCCATTATAATACAAGCACATAAAAACAAGGAAGGATTCATGATCTTATCTTTGAAGATGCTGTTGCTTTAATAGAAGAAAAGGTATGCACAAATACGATGATTAAATGTGTCATCAAACCAAGGCCACTCAAGTAATTCAAGTTATGAAACTCCCTATATATAAATTGCCAAGTGAATAAGGGAAAGCTCCTTTGCATATGCCAGAGCTATTCCCCCACACACCTGACCCTCTGCTCATATCCATTGTATCTTCTTCTAGTGCCTACATTATATTGATGGTGCTCTGCAAGCTAGAGACCATTACTGGGCACTTGCCAAGCCCGTACCTATCTCTCATTGACTCTCTTGTTTCCTTTCAAGGTCAGCAAGCACATACTGTAGTCATCCCATAATTCCCATCTTGTTCCACCTCAGTTCCTCTGCCTTTTACTACTTATTGTTCAGTTCCTTCTACCTCAGATCCCTTTCACACAAAGATGCACCCTCTTTGGGCCTGACCTGTTTCTTCTACTTCATCTAACTCTTGCCAAGTGAATTCAGGGAAAGAACACTACACTAGTGCTCTCATGTTCCCTCTCTCTCTTAGAACAAAAGTATCTCTGTCATCCTGGATGCCTCCCATAGAAATATTGCTGGTGACTCTCCTATATTGAGGAAAGGAAAGTTCCTATGCTTAAATATGAAGAAAAGAATGGTGTTGAATCAGTGACATCAGCCTGTGAAGCCTTTTAAAACATGCGGAAGTTCTTTTCTGAATCTCCATTTTAAAAAATCTTCCTCTGGAATTTTACAAGTGCTTCCTTCCAAATTTCTACTCAAGATAAAATGTTTAAAATATCAAATTTTATTTCTTATTTATTTCAAAAAACATGCTCTACGTTTTTGTTTTACTCCACAACATAGAATATTATCTGTTAGTGTGTCATAAAACCTGTTTCTAATCTGATTATTTATTAGCTTGAGAAAGATTGTCATCTTTTGGAATGTTAGAGCAAGCCAGTGAAGAATTATAACAAATATCACATATTTTAAAAATAAATTAAAACAACTTAAACAACTATATTGTTTAAGTTTATGTAAGCTACTTAAACAATATATAAGCTACTTAAACAAGAGAGTTGATTGAATATTGAGTTCCAAATGAACAACCTTCACATAAATTTTCAAATGTAATGCATTTATAAATTGAGGTTGTCTCATAAGATATAGTTTGAAATGAATAGAATAAATAATACCTATTATATGAGAGGTGAGGAGGTGACAAACAGACAAATGGTTACAAGCTTGAGAAAACCTTTTGAACAGAAAGCAGAACTTGAACTGGACTCTGAATATTAAACATTGTTATGATAGGGAACTGTTGTAGGAATATCTCAAGTTGGGAAAAGACTTGGAAAAGATGTATTTGGTTGAAACACAGACTTCTTATGGAGGAGAAAAGGAGACATTGACAAATCAGGATTGGGCCAACTTGTGTTTTTAAACCCCTTCACACTAAGGAGGTTAGTGGATTTTTCTTCCATAAATAATGGAAAGCTATTGAAAGTATCAAAGGCTTGTAGTGAATTTGACAAAATAATTTTCAAAAATCATCTTCTCTGGTGACGTTAGATAAATTGGAAGGAAAGAGACTAGATAGGAAATCATTTATGACCACATGCTTGTGAGATGCCAGGTACCTGGAATAATGCTGTGGGAATGTCAAAGGAGGGGAACTAGGATAAATTCTTCAAACACCATGTGACAAAATCTTGAAGTAATAAAGGATGCAAGGAAAGGTGATGAGTCAGAAATTATAGTGAAGTTTCAGATGGGGTGAGAGGGAGAATGAAGGATAAATCTGATAGCAGAAACAGGGAGGTCAGAAGGGAAAACTAAATGGATGAGAGGAAGGAAAGCGATAAGTACATAGGGATTTAGTGCTATCAGTAGAAATTTAATGGAACTACATGTTATTTTAAATTGTCTGACAGCCAACTTCAAAACAGTAAGAACAAATAGGTGAAATTATGTTTAATAATGCTTTGTTTACCCCAATATACTCAAAATGTTATTTCAACATATAATCAATGAAAAAGTATTAACTATATAGTTTACATTCTAAGTTTTTCAATCTGGTGTCTATTTTGCATTTCTAGCTCATCCCAGCTTAGCTAAATTTCAAGTGCTCAGTAGCTGCCTGTGGCTAGTGGCTACCATACTGGACAGCACATTATTAGACAGTCATAGAACTGACAAAAATGATTTAGCAACTTCTTAATTAAGATGGTGATAAGACTGTATTTTGGATGTTATAATTCTATATATTCTTCCTCCTTCTCTATTTCTTTTATTTTGGTTATTTTAGAGTCATGATGTTCTTTGAGCAGACCATCATTCTTTCCCCAAAGCACCAAGACTTTTTAGAAATATCCATGATACACTGTTTTATTGCTTAGAGTTGCTGCTGTCTCATTTAATTGTTTGACTTACAACTTTAATTAAATAAATGTCTGAATACGTTTCCTTGTTCCTTTGTCAGTTTTCAAAATTCTGATTGTGAAATAATTTAGCAATGTGTCTTCAAAAACCTGGGATAAATGACATTTAGTACTATGGATATGAGGGTTGCATTTTTCAAGTTCCCCAGTCTGCATATATGTGTGTGTATTTCTCCAGTGTTTAATATCTGACATAAACTTGCTGGAGTTTTGGTCTTCACAATATGCTAAAGAATGCAGTACAAAAGAGAGCCTACTTCTATAGAAAACAAGCCAAGGACATTGTGTTCCATCTTTACAATGAAATGCAGATTTCCCATTAAAAGGCAAATCTATCATTTCAAAAGGTTGAATAGGATGGTGCTTTAAAAGAATCCAGCTGCTTAAATTTAGGGCACTGAAAAACATTCAATAAAAAAAAATGTTCCCTGTGCCTCAAACATTTTCATTTGATTATGTATTGGATAGATTTTCATTCAGTGTAGAATTTTGCCTCTTAGAATTCTGTCCTAAAATAGTTTGACAACTGTTTTGAGCAAGTTGGACTCAACTATGATATCTCATTTACAATTAAATTATGTATTTGCTGTTTAGAATATTCTTGTGTTTGATAATGTATGTTTAACTTTTGTTCTAGAAATATTGGGCTATTCTTACAATGCTTTACTTTTTCATGTTTATTCCTGGGCCTCTCCCATTCCTATTTAGTTTCCTTTATGTTTCTTCTTTTTTTTTTGAGACATTGTCAGGACAGCCATTTTGTTCTCTAACCAGCCTCCTTCAATGTTTTCCATCATCTGCTCACACTACTTTATTTTTGTGGCCAAGTAGAACACTACCTTTTTGCTATTCTACTGTGCTCTGCCCAACTTTTTTCCAATTAATTTAGGAGTAGGAAGCAAAAAGGCCTGTGATACTCCTTACAATACAAACTGACCAGGGAGCACAGAAGAGCTCTGTGCTACACAGCTGAGCTACAAATTCTCAAGGAAGTAGTCTATGTGCTGTAAGAGGAAAATGACTTATGTCAGACATATTTGTATGATGCATGTATTTCCCATGGGCTTAATAGTCATTTATTGAAAGTTATGACTAAGTCTCCATTCTCTCCAGCTCTGGAGTTTAGCCCTGCTCTTTTTCAGGGGTAACATTGGAGATGTAGCCTGGGACCATACAAAGGACCACAGTTAACAAGGGCAGCACTTGTTATACCCCTGGTATTAGGTATTTACTAGGTTTCTTAAATTAAGTATTTGGCTCTCTCCTATTATACTGGTTGTTAGGCATTTATACATATAAATAATATTGCCCCTGGGCTAGTACCTGAAAGTGAATGTTTCCAATAATGTTTTGGCATCCAGTGTTTTACTAACACTAATTTGGTCTCATTTGCAGACCTCACCTCTCCAATGTTCATATTCTTCCTAAACAGTTGTCAATTTTGGAAGAGAGTATTTTCTACTTAATATCAGTCCACTTCTAATGAATTTCCCCCAAAGAGCTCAACAATTTTATGGAATAATTCTTTTTCAGAATTCATATTTTATTCTAGACTCAAATGAGGGGAGTATTTCTTATGCTTTACCATAGTTTATGAGGGGTATTTCACACTAGGGTCCTGTGCTTCCACTCCCCTGCCAACACTGGCTATCAAAACTGCTTAGGCTGCAAATAAAACAAGAAATGAAGTCCATCTGGCATTTCTCATTGAATTAGGACCAGAACATTTTTGTTAAATATTAACAGATGGCTAAAATATTAATATCAAACTAACATTTAAAAACATCTAAAAGGACTCACATGAGGGGGAAAGGACAGAGGACCATGTGTTTTCTCCATCTCAGAGACCTTCCCGTACACTTACCCCCACCATTTTTCCAACCCACATGTTGAGAATCACAGGAGTCTCCTATCTCAAATAACTTTTATTTCTTTATAGCTGGTATCAAAATAGTGTTTGATGATATTATTAAGATAGTGTAATCAAGTGTTGGCCAACTCAGGTGATGTGTTGCCTTTGGCATTCTTCAAGATCTTTTATTAAAGTCAATTTTCTCTCTTCTCTTCTCTTCTCTTCTCTTCTCTTCTCTTCTCTTCTCTTCTCTTCTCTTCTCTTCTCTTCTCTTTTCTCCTCTTGTCTTCTCTCCTCTTCTCTTCTCTCTCATAATAGGAGAAAGAAAAGAAGTACATGCTTCCCTTGGACAACCTGAAAGTTCGGGATGTGGAAAAGAGCTTTATGTCTAGCAAGCACATCTTTGCACTCTTTAATACAGAGCAAAGGTAAGAAACTGAAACAGTTTCTGTCTTCAGATTTTTTTCCCCTGAAGTTCTACATGATTCAGAGATCATATTTGAAAATAGTTCCTTTTGTTGCACCTTGAAATTTATCTCCTTTTCAGTTTTCCTTTCATTTATTTTGTGTTTTTAACTTTCACCATGGGTTATGGCTTCAAAATATTAAAAGACAGACTAAAAAAGATCTTCAAGTGTTAACTAATTATTTCTTGCTTTTCCACCTGGCATGAAAATAATTCTTCATCCTTTTTTTTTTTTTCTTTTTGAGATGGGATCCCACTTTGTCATCCTGTTGATACAGTGGTGTGATCATGATTCACTGCAGCCTTGAACTCCTGGGCTCAAGCAATACTCCTAGCTCAGTCCTCTAGAGTAGCTGGGACTATTGGGTGCACACCATTATGCCTGGATAATTTTTTAAACATTGTTTTGTAGAGGTGGGGGTCTTGCTGTGTTGTCCAGGCTGACCTCAAATTACCTGGGATCAAGAGATTTTCCTGCCTCTGCCTCCCAAAGTGCTGGGATTATAGGTATGAGCTACTGCACCCAGCCTGTCCATTCTTAAAGCTAGATTTTATTACCTTAAAGTCTTTCTTGTCTCAATATATTGTTTACATACTTATAAACTACTCAGTGATAGTTTTTACAGTATCTGTCTAACATGACTGGATATCACTTAACGCTCTTCAGAAAACTATATACTATGTCTAAATTCAGTGAATAGGATTATTCAGTTAAGGTGAATAAAAATATGTTGTATTTTATAGTTTTTTAAAGTTCTGTCTACATTCATTGTCGCTGGTTTTTGTAACAACTGCCCTTAAGGTTAAAAAGATACAGTTATAAATAAGAAAGTGCAGGCTCAGGGATGTTAACTCACTTTCTTAAGGTCATCAAACTAGTGCATAGGGGAGCTGGAACTTGTATCAGGACTTGTCTAAGTACCCTTTTCCTTCCACTCATTTTCCATTTTGTGCTTATTTTTTTTCTGTTGCTCATGTGCAGTATCAAAACTGTATTTCAAGCTGATCATCACAGAGGGCCATAATCATTCACTGAAACTTAGCAGTAAAGTTAAATAAGCAAATGGAGAGGTAAGGAAAGATGGGCTAGAGAAATGTAAAAGGACTACAACTAGAAAAGGATAATAAAGGAGAGTTTTTGCAAATGAAAATGTTATAAGAAAAAGCTAATCAATTTGTGTGAGTCAGTTATTAAGAGAGTGAGTCATTAGGTAACAGGATCTAATTTTAACCCATTTTTCCAGGCTGCCTTTTATTTTTATTTAGCAATGAATGAAGTTATTTGATTAAGTTCAATGACTGGCCCAGGGTCAATCACACAGTAAATTAAAATAGAGAAAAAAGACATCTTCTTACATTCCCAGTCAGTTGCTCAGAGTGACTCATAATATAAAAATACTTAGTAAAACCATAAAGCAAGCCATTTAAAGAATCAACGGGAAAGAAATTAAATACAACTAACTCCCCTACCAAATATTGAAATGGGATTTTTTGGAAAATATTATTTGAGAGCAGCTTATGAAAACACACTGAAAATAATAAAGAATAAAAAGGTTTTCTAGAGAGAGTATTAGTGAGTCTGCCACACTGCAGCCAAGCTCTGGACTAGTTGACATGTCTTCACCAGAGCAGCAGAGAATCAGGAGATCCTGAAGGAATCATCTGAGGTGTGCTCAGCCTTCTTGCCTAGATGGAGAGTGGAGCAGGTGACTACCATACAGGATGTCAAATGAAATTGAATCCTCTGGTCAACCTGAAAAGTTCAGGCTATAAAAGAGCTGGGTATAAGGTAAAAACAAGACTATGGTAGACTATTATTTTTCATAAAATACAACTGTGCATTTTAAAGACAGCAAAAGTCACTGAAATAAGAAAACTCTGGGTTTAAAAAAATCTAGATATTTTGGAATCTTGAAGTTCTAACAAGGTATTGAATTCTGCTGCCACTTCTCAGTGACCTCAGTGAGTACATAGATGTACCCACAGACACACTGGCCATTGTCTTCTCCTTTGAAATTTTGATTCCTTTAAATCATTTTTGTGCTGGCTAGGACCTCCAGTACAATGTTGACTACAAGCTGGAATCCTTGTCTTGTTTCTGATTTTAAGGATAATTTAAGGATGATTTAAAAATTTTTATAGTGAAGTACTTTTTGATAGATGCCTGGTATCAGGTGAAGATTTCTTGTGTTCCTAGTTGCTAAGATTTCTGTTTTCATTTTAAAATTATGGTTAGGAATTGAATTTTATCAACCTCTTCACATGGAAGATTATATGATCTTTCTTCTTTAATCTGTTCATGTGGTGAAATATACTGATAGACTTTCTAATGTGAAACCATCCTTGGTCTCCTGGGATTAAACTTAGTTAGGTTACAATGTACTATTCCTTATTATGAGTTCTTGGCTTAAGTTTGCTAGCATTTTAGCAAATGCTGAAATGAATTAGATTGGTCCATAAATTTCCTTTTTATGTTATTCCTGCCTGGTTTTAATATCAAGGTTCTGTTAGCTTCATAAATTGATGTGGGAATAAGTCCTTATTGTTCTTTGGAACCCTTCATAGAAGATAGAGATTAACTATTAACTGACTGGTAGTAGTCACCTGTAAAATCATCTGGCCCTAGAAAGTATTTTGGTAAGTGGGCTTTTAACTAGTGATTGAATATATTTAATGATTTCAGATTTATTTAGGTTTTCTGTTTGTTCTGTGGATCAGTTTGATTAATTGTATTTTTTCTAGAAAATTGTCCATTCTGTTTTGCTTTAAATATATTGCATCAACTATTTCTTAATATTTTGCTAAATCTCTGTTGTATCTGAAATTTGACTAATTTTTATTTCTAATATTAATCCTTATCTTTTTTATGATCACACTTGCCAGAGTTTTGTCTCTTTTCAGAGAACCAACTTGTGGCATTTTTTAACATCTACTGTGTATATTTTTTCTATTTCAATAATTTCTGTTCTCTTCTTAATTATTTCCTTCCTTGTATTTTCTTGTGTTTACATTTTGGATCTTTTCAGACTTCTTAATTTAGGTGTGTAGCTCATCAAGTTTTAACCTTTCTTTTTCTTGTATATCTGTGTATCAATCTGTAGATTTCTCTCTACATAGTGTTTAGCTGCTTACTACAATTTGTTGAAATTTTAAAAATTTATTTTGCTTTAAGTTCTGGGGTACATGTGCAGATCTTGCAGGATTGTTACATAGGTATACACATGTCATGGTGGGTTGTTGCCTCCATCCCCCTGTCACCTACATTAGATATTTCTCCTAAAGTTACCCCTCCCCAATCTTCCCACCCCCTGCTAACAATTTTATTACTATTCAGTTCTGTTTCCCATTCTTCATTATGTTTTTTTTTCTTTGAGTTATTTTAAATTGTGTTTTACATTTTAGAATTCATGGAATCTTATTGTTTTGTATCATTTATTTCTAACTTTATTGTGATCAAATAATGTGGTCTAATACATGGTAAGTGTTAATATTAATATTTCACATATGTGTGAGAGGAATATACATTTACTAGCTTGGAAGTGTAGGTTCTATGAGAGTTAATTGGATTATACTTGTTAATTTTATTATGCAATGTCTATACTCATTATCTTTTTTTCACCTGGAATAATTCCAACATTCAACAAGTATATATTAGGCAGCTGTTATGTGCCAGACACTGTTCTTTGCTTAGAATACACCTGTGAATCAATAGACAAAGACAATTAAACATTTTAGATACAGTCTAGAAAGGGGAATAGGCAGGGAGACAAATAAAAACTCACAAAGAATCTTATTTTATCAGATGGGCATTAAAAAGGTCACTTTGTGATTGTGAGCTTGAATAAGCTGCCAATTTTTGCTTGAGACAAATCTGTTATTAGATTTATACTAATACTATATTTATACTAATACTATATTTAATACTAATAAATTTAGTATTGCATTTTCCTGGTGACTTAAAAAATAGCTTTGTGACATCCCTCTTCATTCCTAATAATGCACTTTGCCTTAAAATTTGGTTAATATTTTTATTGATACATGATATTTATACACATTTATGGAGTACATGTGATATTCTGTTACATGCATAGCATTGTGTAATTATCAAATCAAAGTATTTAGGATATTAATCATCACAAGTGTATATCATTTATGTATTGAAAATATTCCAAGTCCTCACTTATAACTATTTTGAAATATACAATATATTGTTGCTAACTATAGTCACCATACTCTAGTATTGATTCTAACTGTATGTTTGTACCCATTAGCCAACCTTTCTTCATCCTCTCTCTTCAACCCCCACCAACACATACACACATATTATTTCCAGCCTCTGGTATTTATCATTCTACTTACTTACCTCCATGAGATGAACTTTTTAAACTCCCATTTAGGAGCAGGTACATGCAATATGTGTCTTCCTGCACTTGGCTTACTTCACTTAACATAGTGACTTCCAGTTCTATCCACATTGCTGCAAATGACATGATTTTATTCTCTTTTTATGGCAAATGGTATTCCATTGTATAAATATACCACCTTTTCTTTATGTATTCATCCATTTAGGACATTTAGGTTGATTCCATATCTTTGCTACTCTGATAGTGCTGCAATAAACATGGGGGTGCATATGTGCCTTTGATATAATGATTTCCCTTTCTTTGATTCAATACCCAGTAATGAAGTAGTTCTAGTTTTAGTATTTTTAGAAATTGCCATACTGTTTTCCATAATAGCTATGCTAATTTACATTCCCACCAACAGTGTATGAGAGTTCCCTCTTCTCCATATCCTCACTACCATCTGTTATTTTTTGTTTTTGATAAGAGCCATTTAACTGGGGTAAGATGATATCTCATGGTTTTGATTTGCATTTCCCTGATGACTAGTGATGTTAAGCATGTTTTCGTATATGTGTACGCTGTTTGTATGTCTTTTTTGAGAAATGTCTATTCATTT